AAATTAAATAATGAAGAATCTGCATGAATATATATATGTTTCTCGAATTGTGATAAAACAACGGCACCTAGAGCCATCAAAATTTGAATAACGTAATCTTCCATAGAACATGGGCATGTGGAAACCCTAATTTGAATTTGAAATTCGTTTTATTATCGGTTTCATATTTTGTAACACTTCAACAAATTTTGTATTAACAAACTGAACGATTTCAAAGCAAGCAATAGCAACACTGTAAAAAAAAAAAAAAAAAAAAAAAAAAAAAAAATATCTCCAGCGCACGAGACTCCATATCGGAAATTCTAAAGATATTTAAAAATTATTTTGCGATATTGCTGTTGAACTAAGTTTTATGGTTTGAGTACGCAGAACGTGATATTTAAAAAATAAAGGTAACACGCAAAACGTTAAAAAAAACCGCCCCTTTGGAAGTGATTTTAAATCTGAAACCTTTCAGATTTTTTTTTATTTTAATTTTAAATTTCTATTATAGTTATTAACGAAACTAATAATTGTAACATCAAACAACGACCAACGTCAACGTACGAACAAAACTACAGTTCAGCCCTTTTTATAAGAACTAACCGGAATTCAAGCAATCTGGTCATAAATAATAGCTCGTTCGCTATTTGAACTCGGTCAAACTACTGATGTTTGGCGAATTTAATCACTTCGCCGGTAAAAGAAGAAGCACGTTTTATAAATTTACTAATGAACCTCTTTCTAAATACCAAAGCATTTAGAATAATTTTTAATGCAAAACAAACTACTTATTGTAATAGCTTAGTTTAAATAAAGTATCTTTAAAAAAAATCCGAAGAGAAGAAATTATATGTAAATAATTTTGAAATTATCTTCTGCTTTTTTTATTTTTGTTAGATCATAAGTGACCAAACATGCAGGAATGGACTTACTTGCTATTTCAGTCACATCACATTTCTTCGCGTTATTGAATGAGACGTGAAGCGCATTTGTTTAAAGTTATTGAGAAAAGAAGTTAGTATACTATATTACATACATATTTTATGAGCACGTAAGAAAGGTTTTAGATTCCTTTTTTGCTTCTTCTCTTTCCTGTGTGGCTTCATTTTCTTTCTGCTTAGTAGTCATTCGTGCATTAGTAGAGTAAATGGTTTTAGATCATGGAAATTAAACTGAACAAGACCGACATTTTATTTTAATATTTACTTATTTATTGTTTCAGTCATCACCAGATGGGTTTCGGAGCAAATTCGGGCAAGTAGTTCAGGAAACATATCTCGCTGAAAAAAGCTGAAATTTTACGGTGGGGGGATGGGAATCGGAGAATATTAATGAAAATCTGGTATGTGAGATATTTTGTAAATAATAAATAGAAAATGTTCACATTCCGTTGCAATGAAAATACAAAAACATTTAGTCTCTGTACGTAAAACTTTTTTCTCTGTAGCCCCCTGAAAATATGAAATTTAAAACAAAGAAAACGAATTAAATAAAATTAATTTGTATCAAGTAAGGACCACTTTTACCTTTCGGAAGCAGTTTTCTTATATATCAGTTTCTTATGAGTAGGCTTATGTTTTTTAGATACATTGTATTAAAACTAATTAGACCAAAGGGCGTTAGCCCAGAAGACCTATTAATTTCGTTTTGGCATTTTGCACCAAAAACTTTAAATGTCCGTTTAACTTTTCAAATTGTTGCCAACAAATATTATCGCCCTGTATTATAGTTAAAGAAATTAAATAATGAGGAATCTGCATAAATGTATATATGTTTCTCGCACTGTGATAAAACAAAGGTACCTAGATCCATCAAATTTTTAATAACGTAACCCTCCTGCGAATATGGGTATCTGGAAAAAAAAAAAAAAAAATCAGCGCGCGGCATTGTGTATCGGCAATTCTAGAAATATGGTCAATTTGACATTATTTTGCGATATTGCTATTGAATTGAATTTTATGGTTTAGGTGCGAAGAACATATTTAATAAATAAAGGTAACACACAAAACGTTAAAGAAAACACCCGTTTGGGCGTAATGTAATCTGAAAGCTTTCAGATCTTTTTTCGAAAAATTTTAATCTGGTTTAAATATTTAAGTTAATAGAAGAAAATTTATATTTGCTTTTAATTATTTAAGGCTGTTAAGAGGCTAGGAATTCTTTAACTTTATTAGCTCAAAATTAAACAACGCTTGTAGTGAATGAACGCAAAATGCCAAAACGAAATTAATTGTCCCTTTGAATTAATAAATGTTGCCACTCACATTAATGAAGTGGATGACTCTGCCGATTTTTGCACAGATATTCTATTTTTGTATTTTTGAATGTATGCTGGTAAGCTTAAGTCTGAACTGATGTTCATACATCAAGCCCGTTTCACTACTTTGTTTTTATTTGGGTCAGTTTTTATTTATAATGTCAGTATTGGGAGATAAAGTAAATACTGGTAACTGTCATGTTTAACTTCCAAACTTTTAATGTTTCCATGTGCAGTGCAGCTAATTTGAATTTTATTTTTTGCCTTTTTGAGAAACCTGGAAAGTTGAGAAACGTTAGTATAGGTTACTACTGTAATTCTTGACAAAGGCAGGGAATTCATGTATATTTAAATAGTAAAATTACAGAACCTTTTAACTAGTTATATAAAGTTTTTTTAATATATATCTTATCGCTAAAATGCAGAAATGTGGCAATCGCCAGATTAACTAGAACTACCCAGTTAAGTGAAGAAAATTGTTTCATTTGTCACGCTACTTAGTTAAAATCTGCCCAGCGCCTAATAGACACTCGTTAAAGAGAAAGTAAGATCTTTGCACGAACAACTGCAAAGCTAAGCTTGTAAGCTTCACACGCTATGCTTTTATCCCGTAAAGTTTAAGTAATTAATGCAAGAATCAGCAGATTGTATATCAAATATACTGACAATTTTTTAAATGTAACAGTAGTTAATTTAGAAGTCAAAGAACAAAAATCAGCATTATATTTAATAAGCGTTATTTTTGTTGTTTGACATCTAAATTAATATTTGTTCGGCGTGTTATTGTACCTTAGTAACAGTAGTTATTACTGATTATTTTGATGAATTATTCAGCAGACTCTAGTAAAAAATACTGATAGTTATTGAAACATAATGCTATTTACTTAGTTTTCGATACCTAAAACATCAAGTTGATAGATCTTATCAGTCAATAGAACAGTTGATAGAATCAATCATTAAGTAAAGTAGAATACAAAGTAATTTCATGCAAGAAATCAGCAGAATGTATTGAAATTGAAAGGCATGTTAATATTTAAAAAACCGTACAGAATTTTTTTGGCATAACTATATCTAAGAAAGTACACAAATTTTAGAACATGAGTAATTTAAAATCTTAATTTTAGCAATTTTAATAATCAGTAATTTACTATTGTCAACTAATTTCATAATTTATTCAACAATTTAAAAATTTTATTAAATAAGCGTGAGGTCATCAGTGTGGCATTCAAAGTCACTAATCTCTATACTGGTTGGGCAGCTTGTTCTGTAGAACAAGAAAATTATCTGCTGAGGTTTATAAAGGAATAAAAAGATCTGTGTATGTAATTCACATGATGAAAAGTGAGTTTTTGATAGTCTACAGAATAGGTTGCCCAATCAGTGTAGCAATTAGTGACCCTGAATGCCACACCAGGACTCAGGTTTGAATCCCAGATTGAATCTCGGAGGAGGCGTGGATGTTTGTAAAAATATAGAGTCTTTGCGGCAAGGGGTTACTCAAGCCGAAAGTACCCTCAAGAGTTTGGTGGTAGGAGAAGAAGAGTGGGAGACCCTGGCTTTGTCCCTAAGGGGGCTGTTTCTCAAAATTTGATCGGAACTGCCCTGTTAATGCTGTTGGACTATACCTATGCGAGTAATGATGACATTTCGATGCCCCTCCCACTTCTATCTGCACCTTCTAGAGAACATACTCCACTCTAAGACAATGCCATAAACAGCGCACAAGGTCCATTTCAGTAACTGACAGGCGAGATCCACAGGTCTATTCCACCAAGAAATTTCTCTATTTGCTTGAATCGCTGAAAAGCAATTCTCCTGATCAGGCAAACACTCACAATCCACACAAATCCACACAAATCACTCACAATTTGAAGAAGATGTTTTCTGGCCCATATAAAACTTATTACCTGATTCAGTGATGTCAGTAGTAACATCCGCGTTGTACGACTATTAAAGAACTCCTTGAAAAGAGTGTACGCTGTACAGAGCGTTCAGTACTAAGCAGCACCATCATTGAATTCGGATGTAATACTATGAAATGACTGGGTGACTGTTATCTATTAAGCATCAGGCAGTGTTGTTCTTGCACTTTCCTCTGTATATTCGCAACTATGAGACGCCTCAAACAATCTGCCCATATCTTTTTTTTATAAATCATGCACAAAACCTACACTTGAAGCATTGTGCTAACATACTTAAATATTAAAAGAAATAAAGCGCTAGAATATTATCTCAGTAGTCTAGCACTTCAGTCTGCTTTTAAAACATATTTGTTTATTTTTTTAATGTATTGAAAATTCCCATCTTTATTAAAGTAAGGAGTCCTGAAGAATTATTAGAAAGTTGAGAGAAAAAAATATTTCAGGAGCACTGCTTTGGTTTATTAAATAAAGAGAATATTTTCATTTACATTTACTTCTAATTGTACAACATTAGTATTATTCTTTACTACCCCTCCAAGAGAAAAAACAATTGATATGCGTTTAATCTAGATACATGCTGACGGATGGGACATGCAAATAATCTGCATGAATAATATACAGTTATAACAGCTTTCTTTACAGGAAGGCGGAAATGCAAATAATACCGAGGCTAGACTACAACAAAAGGACAATTTTAACGTATTTGTGATTGCCTGCGAGGCATAATCTGATGCAAGATTCAGCTACAGAATAGCATTTAACACCCGGATATCCTTAAACCAACCTAACTCAATCAAAAATCCGAGCAGATCGAATAAATGAATAAGATTTCAACTTACCCTCCAATGTTTCGTTGACGCAGTCCCAGAAGGAGAGCTGGAATGAGAACAAAAAATAATCTATTAGCATATGTAATTGGTAACATCTCTTATCAGATCTCGGAATCATGTAATATTTATTACTTCATATCTACTTGATTAACCTACGAAAAAAGATCGTCGCAACCTGTCCGCTACTCATTTAACTCGTTTTCGAGCTGCGGCGGATAAATTGCCGCGAGTTCTTTACGCGGCGTGTTTTAGTAGAATAGAATTAATTATTAGAGGATATCAAAACCATGCATGATATGAGTCTCCAGAATTATTGGAAACTCTTTCATAGCTACCTACGTCGGGTTTTGTTAAACCTATAGACGTTATTATGCGTAAGACACATCATCAGTTGGTTTCCCCAAACTACGTTTAGGGGCTTTAATGGGCTGTAGTCTTGTAACCTGAACTAAGTAGGGGTCATGTCAGATAATAGTTTTTTCTGATAAATCATAGGCTTTCCGTAAAAATATGAATGGACCATGGTATTTGCATAATAGAAATCGTGATATTTTTATCAGGCAATTTCGTTATTTTTAACACATTATAACTTTTTATAATGCGTCCTTTTCTTCATTTTAAATTTATGTTTTATTTTAAAATCTGTGCTAGAAATAGGTGCTTCTGTAATTATCCCCCCCCCAAAAAAAGTAAAAAAAATTAAGTCTGAAAGTTTTAGATTTTAGCCATAGCACAAAAAAAGTTTGCTAAGGTTTTTTACGCTCTCGCTTTGCTCGCAGTGTACCGGTCTGCTATAGCACTCACTCCTACTAACACTTTTTTTTGTCATTTTAGCTTCATTATTAAGCAACATTTTTTTTTCGCATTTACGCCATATGCAATTCAACAATATAAACTATAAAAATTTTAGAAGCAATATATCAGTATACGTTTAGGATTCCCGATGCAGCGTTAAGTGTTGGTATACACTTTTTTTTTTTTTTTTGTATTTTTCAATCTTTTCTCAGTTTGTCATATCAGTGTTCAATTTTCTTACTAAGATGGCTATACGAAACTTTTCTTGTCTTTATATTATTAACATATTGTGTGTCTATTTATTAAATATCACGTTCTTGGCGCTTACGCCACATAACATTCGGTTCAACAACAACATCACAAAATATTTAATTACAGTTTATCTTTAGAATTTCCGATAGACAGTCTCGCGTGCTGAAGATAAAACTTTTTATTTCGTACAATGTTGCCACTATTTGCTTTGAAATCGTTGAATTTGTTAATTAAAAACTCGTTAATGTTTCACAAAATATGAAATAAATAATAAAACAAATTCGAAATATAAAATTCGGGATTCTCGGCGCCCATGTTTGGGTGGAGGACTACGTCATTATATAACTGGATTAATTACAAAGTATGATATCACTGACAATTAGTTTCATTCAAAAGATATTTTGCCGCTTTTAAAGCGATACAAGAATCTAGCTGTGGAATTTTATTCCAATAATTGGCTCTTACTAACTTGAAAATTGATCACCCCTGGTCTGTCAGGTAAAGCTAAGCTGAAAATATGTTTACATTTTTAACATAAGCGTTAAGGTAGAAGTGATGAATAAACTTAGTACATTTTTTATACTTTAGGCCGCGCTTTATTCATTCACCTGCTTATAAATATTATCTATATTATATCACAGAAAACCCAAAAGTGCGCTCTCTTCGCTGTAATGAGCTCAAAATTAGAAACCGAGGCTAATATATTTTTTACATGATTATATATCTCATATGTTATATTTCTTATAAAAATGATCGCGGTCTTAAAATTTTGCAATGATTATATTCTTTTATTCAGTTCAGTTATTGCTGTACATGAGATACATCTAAATTTTCCCATTTAGTGTATAAAAATAAATTTAGTGTAGGAAACCATTTCTAAAGCAAATAATAAATAGATATTGCAGAATAAATAAATTTTACACCACTAGTAATAAATAGATTGTTTACATACTAGATAGGCTACATGCTAGTTTTAATACCTTTGCACTTAATATTACCTAATTTGAAATACAAACTAAGGTATTAAAAAGTAATTACATTATGAAAATTAAGGATATTCATAATGAAATATATTTTTTTTATTCTCTTGTAGATTTCTTTTAGATAATTAAATGTTATATGCCGCAGAGTTTTAGGAATTACTGCGCTGATAGGGTTTAGAAGGAAGTAGCACTTATTCATCATAATAAAAGTATTTTGAATCATATTATCATAAAATTGAGGAAACAATGATCTTAAAATGAATGGAAAATAAAAGGCAAAATTAGATTTAAGATATGGAAATAGTTATATGACTTTCATAATGGTTGTCTTCGAAACAATGAGTAAAAATCGCTACTTTATGATAATCGTAATGTGAAATGTCTTTTCTTAACGATATTAAGAATTCTTGAATGCGTTTCATAAGTATCTTCCTTTTTAGTGAAGAGTGAAAAGAATTGGAAATTAAGGATTGCTGTTAGAACAAATGAAGTGATGACATCCCGAGTGATAATATGTTTTGTAACCAAGGCATAGATAAGTAGCGGCAGTAGTCATGATTGCAGATAAACATGTGGAGATATCTTTAATGTGCCATTTGGCAACTCCGAGTACGTCGAGTAACAATGTGCCATTCATTTAATCAGAAATATTCATCAGTTACGTGTGCATGTAATTGCTTATTAGAAAAAGAAGTCAGTGATTAATTTGATTGCCGTCTTATTATAAAATGTGTTCACTCTGAATATACTTAATGCTTCTTAAATGCCTAACAAGACCTTTTAAATCAACGAGATTTTGAAAGATTTTAACTCCACATGCGTAAGCTTACACACTTATTTTAGGAGTACATGAATTTTAAACTACGAGACAGATTTGAAAAGTGCGCACAACAGCTATTTTTGCCAAACCTTTAACACATACACAAAATAAAACATAAGAATAATAAAAGTGCAAGTCTGAGCTGTTTTTTTAAAATAATTTGATTGTCAAGAGCTTTCTTTCATCATGGTACTAGTTTCAGAGCTCTTGCTTCATCAAAATCCGCTCTCTTGGCAGCATAGCCCCTTGAAGATTTCAGCTGAATCAAAATGTTCCACTAACCTAAACCTCTTCAGAACGCAAAACACATCACGTTCTGTACTTCTATGAATTTAAATTTAAACATTTGGTTTACTCGCAGAATATTTACTGTAAAAAATCCTATTGTACGGAAGTGGTTAGCACATCCACTTCGAAATTGAAAGATACGTGGTTCGGTTGATTTCCAACCATTCCCGACCCGACATTAGCATCTGAATTGAAATATGAGGGACAACAATCGAACCACCTGGGTTTGGATGAGAGAATCTCGTACTTCTCCCCAGTCACTCTTTAAATATATGGAAGGTTACATTATCCAGCTAGCAAATTAGAAAATCCCTGATTGGACTCTCATTAACGAAGCAGATGAGTTTTTGTTGCCTGCTTGAAAAAGTCTAATAATCTCTATAACTGCCGTTATTTCAAAATAACTCTTAAAAAAACAAACGTGCCATATTCATCCTCGGTTCTTCATAACAAATACTTTGTTTTGTGCCGTAGTTCGCGTATAAAGGGCCAAATATATATATGTAAACTATAAAAAATAAGATAGCTTTGCTCTACGCGAAGAGGCAACCTCTAATTATCTTTCCGCAATTTCCGGATCTTCTCCCTAGACCAGTACTTTCGAGAACACTTTGGCATGTTATGTAACAGCTCGTATAAATACAGAGTTCGCGTCACATACTTCTAGGCACTCCAGGAGAACAAATCAGAATGGAATTAACTTGTATAATTACTGCTTATTTAATAATATCAGAGTTCATGTTCCTACGGAGCCTACTCACTACCCTAGCAACTCAGCCTTTAATCCTGATGTCTTGGATATAGTAATTACCTCTAAATTAAGCAAGTGCCTTATCTTAGTGTAGATAACGCACTCACTTCCGATCATCTTCCTATCAGATTTACGCTATATGGACTTCGCCATCGATAACCACCGTTACATAAAAAAATAAACCGGAATAACTTCACCCACATTTTCGATAACAATATTTCTATGAATAAATAATAACATCCCAGATAGAAATGAAGCTTAAAATGCCATAAAAGTGCTCACCAATGATATTATTTCGGCTATTAATAACTCAAGATCTCCCGTTTCCGTAGATAAATTTACCTTACCAGTTCATATGAAAAATAAAATTACAGAGAAGAATAGATTACAGAAAATTTATAAAAACACTCTAAATCCTATTGATAAACTTCGCCCGAACCAAGCATCCAGGCAGCTCAAAAAATTAATGGCTGATTATAGATTCTAACTGGCATGATTTTATTAGTAACCTGTCGCACATCGACCACTCCATATGGAAGATTGCAAAAGACTTAAAGAAAAATAATTCTGAAATTGGTCCGATTAAAGACAACAATATAATAATTAACAAACCTTTAGATATTGCTAATAAATTTGCCGGTACGTATGAAAAGCAATTTACCGTCAATCAATTCTACAAACCAAATGATTCGCTCATCTGCAGTCATGTGACTGACTTTCTCTCCACCCACCAAAATAAAAGAAACTATCCTACCTCACCTAATGAAATTAAATCTAATTACTAAATTAAATCTTAAAAAAGCAGCAGGTTTCGACACCATCACTAATAAAGCGCTCATGGAGTTTCCCAGAAAAGGAAGTGTGCAAATCACAAATATCTGTAATGCCTGCTTAAGAATAAACCTTTTTCCTTGCAACTCGAAACATGCCGTTATTTTTGTACTGAAGAAGCTTGGGAAGAACGGTTTTGAAACTTCAGATTACTGACCTATTAGCTTACTCTCAGCTTTATGAAAATTATTTGAACGTCTCATCATAAATAGAATCAATACCTTCTTAGAAGATCATAACATCATTAGAGACCACCAGTTTGGCTTTAGGCATGGGTTCTATATTACACAGGAAATAACCCGTATAGTTGAGCATATCGGGGAAAG